AGGGTCCTGAAGGCGGTGAAGGAGCTGGGCACCCAGTACACCCAGGAGACCGTGGAGGTGCTGCTGACCCTGTGCCACCCCTCGGACAGGTAGGCCCCGCAGGCACACCCAGGGGACCCCTGGCCGTTGTCCACACTCCGGTCCTGGACTGACGGAAGCCACCCAGCGCCAGCCCAACTGCACCGCCTTCCCAGACTCCACCCCCAGGTCCCAGAAGGCAGCCGGGGCCCAGGGCGCTGGGGGCGGCTCTGGCAGCAAGGGGTGTCCCTCAGACCCAGGGAGCCCCAGGCACCAGCCTGCAGAGGGGCCCGGGGTCAGTGGGGTGACGTGAAGACCCTAAGGGGCCCACACACAGCTCCAGCCCGCTGCCCAGGCCCCGGGCACACGGTCCCAGCCGCCCCTCTGCACGGGTGGACTGAGGACCAGTGACAGCACGGAGTGCGTTAGGAATGCTGGCCGGCCCTGCTGAGCCCGGAGCACAGCCTAGCCCTAACCAGACTGAGTGGGGTGTGCACACTGTTAGGTTTTTGTTTTTTAATATATTTTTATTGATTTCAGAGAGGAAAGGAGAGGGAGGGAGAGAGAGAGAGAAACATCAATGATGAGAGAGAACCATGGACGAGCTGCCTCTTGCACACCCCACACTGGGGATGGAGCCCACAACCTGGGCATGTGCCCTGACCGGGAATTGAACCCTGACCTCCTGGTTCACAGGTCGATGCTCAACCTCTGAGCCGCCTGTGGCCCGGCCACACTGCTAAGTTTAAGAGGTGCAGGGCCCATGGTACCCTTGTGGGCGTCTCAGGGAGCACCGCTGCCCTGGCCACAGGGTGTTCTCCGGTTCGAGACCCGAGTGCTGAGCCCCGCTGGGGGAGGAGCCCACCTTCCGGGGGAGGAGACAGTCTGCGTGGGGTCGCAGGGCCAGGGGGAGAGGGCGCGAGGCCGTGTCAGGGCCAGCTGGCCTGCACTCAGAGCTTCGGGCAGGGGCCCCGCCCAGCTGGTCAGCAGAATCCAGGGCCCGATGGAGGGGCTCCCCCTGCCAGAGGGGCCTGGCCACCTCCCTTTCACACCCTGCTTCTCCGGGGCTGTGCCCCTTGGCCCCGCTGCCCAGTGTGGCGGCCAGCTGGCCCGCAAGGTCATGACCCTGCTCTACATTAAGCTGAAGCTGCGGCCGCCCGAGCTGCTCATCAGGCTGTCCGAGCAGGCGGAGCTCATGTC